AAGTACCGTTCTATCGTTAAACGCTATCGCTGCAGCGTATTCAAAATTTCTCTGGAATATTGCATGTGGGAGGCCTTTAGCATCTAACTTCGTAAAACACTCGAACGCAGCTGAAGATAAAACTGTCTAGTCATGCTTCTAAGTGGCGTGAGACAGGAGTGTGATCGCGTGCAGCTGGCGCGCTCTCTACTCCATTGTGTGAAACAGTAGGAATTAAAGCCCAGCGTCCCCTAACAAACAATTGGATCGATCTTCCCTTTATGGTCCTTTTATACATGTGCTATTTTGCAACTACTATTATAATATCTGCTCCTACGTAATGGAACTGTAGAAGATGGAGACTCAGTATTCAAACAGGTGAGATGGGGGAATGGGGACCAACTCTCCCCCCCTGCTTAAAAAATGCCTGCGGCTTCGCACAAAATTCCAGGAAAAGTAAATATTGCCCTGTTATAACCTTAAAACTAACACCAGCCCTGGCGCAAGCCTCTTGGCCGTGTCATGTCATCAGATTTATCCGTGAGGAACGCGTTATTTTGATCGCCTTACAAAAGAATGCTGAAAGTCGAGAAAGCCTAGGCAGAATTTGCAGGCAAATCTTCAAATGGATAAAATTACCTGGGTGATATTGTGAACGTACTTTCATCACGAATACAAGCGAACCTGCGAGTTTCGGGAAGTTATTGAGAAGACGAAGAAGAAGAAGAAGAAGAAGAAGAAGAAGATGCTATTTCTGGGAATCTGATGTCTCTGATCAAGAATCCGCGACGGATGTCGAAACGTCAGGCAAATAACAGTGTTTTTCCCAGTGATCGCATTCTCTTCTTCTTAATGTACTTTCATCAGCAGGTTATGACACAAATAGTCAACGCGTGAGCTATGAATAGGGCTTATATATGCCTCGGGGGAGGGTTACTCAGCGTGTTGAGGGCAGACAGTGTAGGGGCGAAGAGTACAATTACGCGTAGAACGAAATTGAGAGCTATGGACAGAGTTTATATGTCTCGGGTGAGGGGTGGGGTGGGGTCAGTCGTAATGGCCTGCAGGCGAAGCTGTTTGCGAAACTGACTTTTCAATGTACTTTCAAGTCATTCCCCTGGTGATAAAAGGCAGACTTTTGAATAATTACCTTTCCAACCAACTGTGTTACTATTTCTCACAAAATCTTCTCAGCAAAGTACTGTATATGTTACAAATGATGTGATATGCGTAGGTGAATAAAATTAAATAATGCATAAATACAGCATAAATACAGCATTCCGCACACATGAGTCATAGGAAGCATTCACATGATTATTCGTAAGGCCGACTGCCTTACACCGACCAACCATTTACAAAAAGAATGTGTCACGACCTGAATTTTTTATAAGAACATAATTGTATGTGTGAAGATAATTCACGAAAACAATGAGTTATAAACTTCACAAACAAGTGATTATGTACACTTTTCGGCAAAGGTAATTTAAGTAGTGCACCCCATATAGCCCCAATCCCAACATTTTTTCCTACGGGAACGGTGGTAATAGGGGTTTTGGAGGTGGGAAAATAGGATAGGTAGTAGAGGAAATTTGTAGAAGTAAGTGTAAAGTGGAAAAATATAGTCGAATTTGTTTCCCGCGGCCGCTGGAAGTAAGTAGTTGCGCACGTAAATTGGTGTGCGCGGCGTTTCGCGACGCGACTATACTCATCTTACTCCATAACGATAAGTTGGACCTCATGTAAGTTGAAGTAAACAACCTCCTAGCCACCATTTCAATGTTATCAGGAATTTCAAGAAATCTGAATTTTTATAATTAGGTTTTTCTACAGTACGCTAAATGATAACACACGTTAGGAAAATCTACAGATATAAATTAACAACGTTTCAAAATACAATAAAATGAAAACCCGTGTAGCAGTTATTAAAGTGTATTCCACTGCCTATCCTAATTCCCCACCCATAAAACCCCTATAATCACCGTTTCCGTAGGAAAAAATGCTGGAACTAGGGTATATGTGGTGCACTACTTAAACTACTGTTACCGACTGATCTCCGGTCTCTGCGCGGTATTCGTATATCTTGTGGACCCAAGTACGCAAATTCTACAATTTTGAATTTTTTGGAATATGTTAGATCAAGTAAGATGAGTAACAGTACCGGACCTTTACTGTGTATGAGTGAAGAAAGTTGTGAGGAAATACATGCCGCAATGCTGAAATAAATGCTTTTTCATGTTTCTCTAAGCAGCGGGCAGAAAATATGCTCACTCAAAAGCTTACTATCTGAACTCTCGATTGGTTGTTCTGGCACTTCAGCGCGCACTTCATACACATGCGGAAATTTCAACCATTTAAAAAAATCTAATTTGCTTGCTAATTATGTAGACTAGGTTTCCCATGGAGGTTGCTGAAGGTAGACGGGGCTATTCTCAGTAAAGATTCAGATTCAGTTCTATTTCTTGTGATTAAACCCAGAATCTACTCAGAAAATACAAATTACCTTGACTTGTTTTTTAATAAGAAACAAATATTCATGGTATGCTGTCTAAAATTAATATACTCTCAACTTAATGACTTTAACTAATGCCAGTAACGCCTTCAAATATATTTTTCTCAAACTACTGTATGAATTTAAGTTACCAATGCATGGGAACTTTCACGGGAGATACGGAATAATTTATCAACTAAACACGCGTTTAAACACGAAGTTATCTTATGTAGAAAGCAAGCATGAAAAAAATATGATAATTTATATTCAGCAGTTCAGAAATAGCATCCCGTTAGTGGGGACAGAAAAGGCTGAAATGGTTTTTTTAAGCCTGACAAGTAAGCATACTGTGTAGCACAACGAAAGGTGCTTGCGTGCATACAAGCGAACAAATGGAATAGCGTTTGATAAATTAAAGTTGAAAAACCAATATTCCGGACAACTACAGGTTTTATTACATCCAAAGATAAGCTAATATGCAACACGGAAGCAAGCAATCTATTGGTTTCTGTTGACTATTTTCAATTAATAATTCAGGTCTTGTGTATTTTTCATCTTCTGCTAGTTGTGCTTTGCAAGAATGAAAAATATTTTCCGAATTCGAAGTTTATTATTTTCTAGAAAATTAAAAATGTCGAGGTGCAAAACATATTGCTATCAACCGCTGCGGTTATAAAACTCGCCTTTAGATGGCACATAGAAGTGAGGATAATTGTCACAAGGATGTAGGTTGTAAGGTACCATTAAAATTTTGCTTTGCAGGTCCCCTTGCTTCCCTCAATCAGTTGTATGTTACTTAGCCGGTTATTCTTCAGTTCCAAGGAAGATTTTTCAAGAAATTTTGTAACTCGCCTCCTATTGGAAAAGCGAAACTCGTAACATGCACTAAAATACTTTTTTTCCTCTTATGATGTCATAGACCTGTCTCAGCTGACGACCTACCGGATCAGCATCGCCTCAAAGAACTTCCTCTATAGAAGCACAGCCTTCAGTGAGCCCCTAGTAGCCTCCACCACCGGTAATGTCTACCTTTTTAAACCGTTACTGACAGTAAGAACTGATGTCCTGTTCTTTCAGAGTATTTTTTATTATCTGCAAAAATAAAGACGTGTCCCTCACTGTAAATTATGCCAATGCTTCTGCGACTCGGCCTTTTGATCTTAGTTTATTCACTTTCCTTTACAGAGGTCTGTTTGGCTACCGATATAATAACTAAGGAGGGGTTCAAAGCTACTTTTGACAGTCACCTTGTGGATTCACCAAGGATGATAATTGTCATCTTAAAAGCCGAGTAAAGAGGAGCCTTTTGCAAGTATAACCAAAGTGTTTATCTTGAAGCACATTCATCAGGGCGTTTGTATCAAAACTTCAGGATACTTTTAAGCCATTGCAGAGATCATTTTGATAGATTATAATACCTTAAGTAACTGAGAATTGCTTGTCTCGAGCCTTTTTATTCGAAATAACAGCGGCAGGTTTGGGAAGAGAGAATATTCGTGCCTTTTGGACATCGAATCTCGACCTCCG